TAAGACTATGTGGACTTTTAAAACTATTTTCATGTTCCAGAGTAAAGCCTGAGATGTGTCTTGTCTCCTCCTCTGCTGCTGTGTGATCGTGAGTCGACTGATGGAGGTAAATAGCTTGCTGCCATTTAACCACAGAAAAAGAAGAGGAGGTTGTTAACGGATCCAGTCACAGCTCAGATGATGGAAACTTGGAGAACATGATGGAGATCTGACGTGTGTTAATGTGAGGAAGGTTCAGCCTCCTCAACATCACTCCACACAGGTCAGGTCTTCACTGGAGGTGAGTTGTCTACAGAGCAGAGCTTGACCTGAACGACTGTGACTGACAAACAGTGATGATGATGATGATGATGATGATGATGATGAAGAAAACAGTGACTCTGTGCCTTGCTGAAGGGCTCCTCCTCAGGAATCATTCATCACTGTGGAAAAAACAGAGAGACAGTAACCAACTGGCTGACAAAGTGAGATAACACACACACACACACACACACACACACACACACACACACACACACACACACACACACTCCCTCTCTCTCTCTTTCTCTCTCTCTCTGTCTCCTTCTGCTTCACCTGATAGCAGTTTAATCTGTTTTCAATCATTTTCAATTTATTTCAGTTTCAGCTGCAGGAGCAGTCCCAGCTGTTTCCTGTTAATTTATTTAAACTAGATTATTGTTTAGTTTTATATTAAAATGTTTCAGAATATTCCCATTTAAACTGAAGACTCATCTCTCTGTTTGTTGTGTGATCAGAATTCAAATATATTTGTTTGATAACAAAAATAACATACTACATATGATTTACACTGCAAACTGCACATTTCTAATCCTGTGACACTCATATGTAAATACATTAAATCACCCTGCATGCACACAGACACACAGACAGACACATACACACACACACACACACACGTGAAGAGACATTTACACAAATGAAACAAGCTTATGAAGAAGACATGAAACAGAAATGTGTTTCCAGGAGTCAATGAAAACACAAACACCTGCTGAGTGTGTTTAGTTTTTTAATTTCCCACAAAACAAACACACCATCCTTCTTCTTCTTCTTCCTCTGAGCCTCACCATAGCACTCCCCCACCCCACACTCCCCCGACAACCTCTGAGTGAGAGACTCCAACAGAAACATTCAACACACAAGACCTGAGCAGCTCTGTTCTGTATGAGGATCAAACTATTGTTTTACATTTGGTGTAACATGAGATTTGATTTTTCAGATTTACAATCAAGTGTTTGACATTGTGTTGCATATGAGGATATTTGATTGAATACGATAGGAATGTGAAAAGGCTGTGTTGTGATGTCGTCTTTTGTTATCATCCTGCAGCACCAGTAATCACTGATCAGTTCTTCACAGACACATGTGGAACATTAGTCACATACCTGAGGATCATCATGTTTGTCAGCACTGAATCATTGTGTGTCAGTGCACAGCTCTGCTGTCCTCTGCTTTAACCTCACTCCTCCTGTTTCCTCTGTGTATCTGTATCTGTATTTATCTTCACATTCATTGTATTATCCCATGTCAGAAACTTGAATTGCAGTCATATTACAATTTTCTTCAATTGCTTACAAGCATTGGGCAAAACTGTAGTCACATTGTCAAAACTCTTCACACAGTCAGCAAAACAGAAGTCTATGTAGAGCAAACTGTTTCACTTTTCATTGCTTTCACACAAAATGCATTCAGTGACCACAGTTACCAAAATTCATGAACTCCTTTCTCAGTCAGAGTCCACCACTTGCAAAACATTACACTTTTGCGGCACATTTTTCAAAAGCTAAGACACTTTGTTCAAAACAGTTAAAACACAATGTTGGAGAAAAAAAGGGCATTTCTGCTGCAGCCACATTGAAATCTATAGAAAATAATGTCAAAATATTGGCAATAAAATGAAATAATAACAGTTCAAACACAGCTGAGTGTAGTGTGCAGCTGAAAACCTACCCAGGTGACCTGTGTTTGGCCTCATTACTGTAGCAAGCAGATAAAAGGGGATGGCTTCTGAATGTTTTTTTTGGAAATATGGATCAAAGAGGACAGGTTGGTGGAGAGAGAAGAGTGACAGGGAGAGGGAGAAGAGGAAGGAGAGGAAGACCAGGAGCTATGGTCTCTGATGAGATGAGGGTCACAATTATTGACCATGTGGTGAATCATGGACTCTCTTTGAGAGAGGCCGGTTTAAGGGTGCAGGCAAACTTGCGGCGTTCAACAGTTGCATCAATATTAAGAATCTTCTGGCAAAACAACAATCTCTCAAGTATTGAACTACATTTTACAGTAGAGTACACTATTTTTTACATTTTTTAAATATATTGATTGTTTTATGTTTTATATTACTGTATGTAGGATAAAACTGAGAGAAATTCGGGACAGAGTGCTGGCAGACAATGTTATTTTTGCCAATGTGAACACGGTCAGCACAACAATTGCCAGAGTCCTTGAAAAACATAAAATAAGGATGAAGCAGTTGTACACAGTACCATTTGAAAGAAATGGAGAACGTGTGAAAGAACTCCATTATCATTAAGTCTCCATTATCAATAGCTATGCATAATGTGCTGTACTAAAACTGTGGATTTACTTTATTTTAGATGGTAATGGAAATGGAGGCCAGACCAACTCCACATATATTCATCTTTGTGGATGAAGCCGGATTCAACCTGGCAAAAACACAACGCAGAGGATGAAACTTCATTGGGCAGCGGGCAATTGTGGATGTCCCAGACCACAGAGGAGCAAACATTACAATGTGTGCAGCCCTCTCCAATCATGGTTTGCTTTTGTACAAACCTCTCATTGGTCCCTACAATACAGAGAGGCTCATTTCTTTCTCGATTGACCTCTGTAATCAACTTGTGCCAGTGGGCGAAAGAGGTCAAAGGGCAAGAAACACAACATCGGTTGTTGTGTGGGATAATGTGGTGTTCCACCACTCTGCTGCGGTCACTGACTGGTTTGCTGCACATCCTGGGATGTCTGTCCTTTTCTTGCCTTCATAATTGCCCTTCCTGAACCCCATAGAAGAGTTTTTCTTCGCATGGAGGTGGAAGGTTTATGACCACTCTCCACATGACCAGCTGTCCTTGCTGGATGTCATGAATGCAGAGTGTGGAGATATTTCTCCTGAAGCCTGCCAGGGTTAGATCAGACATTCTAAAAGATTCTTCCCAAGGTGCATTGCCAGAGAAGACATAACATGTGATGTTGACAGAAACGTGGTAAAATGCAGAAGAGAGGGAGTGAATATGTTATACATACAAAGATCTTATTCTATAATAAAACACTGATTTATGTGAAAAAAAATCTTTCAAACTTTAAAGATAAAATGTCTTTTATGTAATGCTCTCTGTTGTTAGTATTTTGTAGTTCAGTGTGCAAAGATTGACAGTGTTTGCTTCCTGAGTGAGACTTGTTGCCAGTGTTGTGGATGAATGAGCTTATTTTGAGACATGTATGATGTGTTTTGTTGGTGAGAAAGAGTTTTGGAGGTGAGATGAACTGTTTAGCTGAGATGCATGTTTGTAATGCAGACTGTGTGGAGAGTTTTGAAAAAGTAGTTTCAGTATTGACCAATGCTCATTAGCAATTGAAAAAATCTGTAAAGATAGCTGTCAGGGGGGTCAGTCGGACACCTGTCACCTCAGCATCCACCTTATAATCTTGCTCAGGTGTTTTGTCTGTCATGCTCAACTTACCAGGCGATCATACAGAATGTCAATCTTTTTGTGTTTGTGATCAATATCTTCTCTGATTGACCTGTGTGGTGAGATCTGTTTCACACACACACACACAGATAGTTTCATGTGAAAACAGATCATGTTCATGGTCAAATACACCACTGTCTGTTATTGATGTTCATAATAAGAATCTGTTACAGTCACGTGTCTGTGGTCAGACACATGATCCTCAGACATGGACCCTGCCTCTGTCCCATCATGATACTTTACTGTCTGTCATTAACGTCCTGCCTCAGTGAGGATCAACATCTGGCTCACAAGGTTTCAGAAACAGGTTCGGGACTTTCTGTTAGTCAGTTTCAGGCTCCATGTGGTGAGTGGGAGATTTTAAACCTTTTTAAACCTAAACTTTACCATTCAGCTGAAACTCCTCTGGACTCATTTAATCTGCTGTTTTACTTTGTTGTTGTCATTTTTCTTATATCAGTTTCTGTTTCTCCTTTCCTGTTTTATATATAAGGCTTTTATTGTGAAATACATTGTAACATTGTTTTGAAAAGTGATTGTTATGAATATATATTTTTATTTATATATATATATATATATATATATATATATACACATACAGTATATATATACAGTTTTGGTTAAATATTTTACTGTACTGTGCTCTCTCTCTCATACACACACAAGCAAACAAACATGCACACACACACACACACACACACACACACACACACACACACACACACATGCACTGTTTAATGTGTTCAGTCAATATTTGCTTGCTCTCTCTCTGATCTCCATTAAAGGTTAATTTGACTTGACCCTCTCTCTCTGTTCAGACATTGAAACCTACTGCTGTTTCCACACATACACACTGATTACTCCCACTGCTCCCAGTTGCCCCCCAGTAACCCCCAGTCACGCATGCGGGGGGTTGTAAGTGTCTGATGCTTTAATCTGTGTATGATTTTTACAATCATAATCAATTATCTAATCTGTGTTTTATTGTATTGTCATTAACCAGTTCAGGACAGACAGAGGCGGAGCCACAAACTTTGATTTCTCTCTTTAATTATTAATTACATTAATTATTCAGGTATACTGCAGCTAGACAGCTGCTGATTGGTCCGTCCAGTCGCTCAGGTGAAGGTCAGGTTATCTGGGATTGGATGCTTGGTCCAGTGAATGGGGGTGGGCCTCAGCCTGCAGTAAAAGAACAAACAGATGAGAAACAGAATGCAACTTACCTGGGTGGAGCTTAAATAGACACTCAGATACCTGGGCGGGGCATTAACAGGAAGTGAAGCCTTTCCAGTAGAAGTTCTTGCACCCGGCTTTGCGTTCACGGGGGGGCAGGTTGTTGGGGGCGTCAACAGACCGCTCCAGGTTCATCCTTCCTCCTGTTGCTGTGGAAACCACCTCAGATTCCCTCTGGGCTTCGCCCTCAGGCAGAGACATCTGAGCCAGCAGGTCCTCAACCGCACGTTTAGTCCACTCCTGAAAAACAACAACCACAGAGCAGTTAGAGCCAGGTGCAGAACCAGTCAGAACAATGCAGAACCAGTCAGAACTGTTTAGTTCCACACAGGCCTGCTCTCCCTCCACCTCCAGACTCCTTCTGGATATTAATATTTTAATATGTGTTGATGTTGTCAACCTGAGGCTCTGTTGATTTGTTCCATTACATGAGCAGCACCACACCGCCAAAATAAAATGCATATTGCTGCAATAAATGGTTAAAACCTGTGAGAGTTGTTCTGACTGAAGTGTTACCATTTGGGAAATAAAACCATAAAATAATTAACAATGCATTTACTTTATTTTCGTGTGCAATCGAAGATGAACAACCTGTTCTTAATTCTGAGAACTATAAAAACAATGTGGACAATGTTTGTTAGACTTCCAGCTGCTGTAGACCAGAAATGCATAAAATGACAACTTCTCAGTATTATTCAGTCAGTCCCCAGCTCAATGTGGAGATGGAGCACCTCAGGGTTCGATTCCGGGTCCTCTCAGAATTAATGTGTCTGATCTGGAAACTTCACCGATTCTGTTATTTTATAACCCAGATCTTATTGTTGTTTCTTGATCTGTTTGGATGTTTGGCTGTGGGTGCTCTCTGTCAGAGGAGGGGTCGTTCACCAGATGCACATTTACCAAACTAACCAATTTGTCTTTTCTAGTGTAAAATCCAGTTACAAACCAGGTCTGATAAAATACAATGCTCACCTTTGTGCAGCTTATTCAAGTAGGTTTTTGAGTGTGATGGACACATTTCTGTCCCCCTGTGGTTGGAGGCCAGAAAACACTCACTGCGGATGCTTTAATTCATTGGCCATAATGAGTCTGTTCCACAGCCACATTCAAAAATTACATGGACAAGTGGCATAGAGGTGTGTTTGGTTTCTCCCTCCTCTGAAACACATAGCTGCTTCACTAAACCTTTCTATGTGTCTCATCATGGAGCTAGAGAAAGCTGTGCTTGGTGTCTGTATTGAAGCATTAAAAACATATCTTCTGTCACTATATGTACAAAGATGAGGACCAGGAGTTTATATGTTAATGCAATAGTTTGACATTTCGTGAAATCCTCATCTGTGAGTTAGAAGTTCAGACTGATCCCACTCTACAGCAGCTGGTTAGCTCAGCTTTGTACAAAGGCTGGAGGGGGAACAGCTAGCTTAGCTCTCTCCAAAGGGAACTAAATCCACCTTCCAGGGCCTCTAAAGCTCATGTCATACAAAAACTGAAATGTGAAAATGACACTAATATTTGTCGGGTTAGGGTTCAGTTATGTGCTGGAAAAGGACTTGGCCAGGATCAGTTGCCCTTAAATGAGTTACTGTTTATAGCCCAGAAACATCCAGCACATGAGCCCCTGTTCTCTTTTTGTATTTCCTAAAATGTCAAATTACTTCCTTGAAAATGATCAGGGAAAATTAAATGCAAATAAACCATTGCTAATCTGCTACATCAAGAAACAGAAAGCATGCAAACACATCCCAGTCTCCACAGTGTTTGAATCTTTGCAGTTGAATGATTAGCAGTGATGTTTTGGGGGTTTGTGGCCTGATAAAAAAGTCAGGATGTGTGAGTAAAAGATTTTCAGACTAAATAACTGGCGTTAATGTTGTTTTTTTTCTGAACATTCTGATTGGTTGTTAGATCTCTCACCTGTGACAGGAGTCCTGCGCCGCGAGCTCTTTGCAGCAGCCGGTGATGACGCAGCTCCAAGTCCAGGTCTTGGTTCTGGTACTGGTCCTGGTCTCTGTCGGGCTGAGAGGAAACACCCGGACTGCACAGAACCAACACCACGAGAGCAAAGATGGCGGGACAACGTACACACTGCATACCTGCCAAAAAAAGAGAAGAAGAAACATGCACACCTTAGGACAGAGAGTCAGGAAGAGAGTAGCAAAGAAAGAGAGAGAAGAGCCAGTTCCTACTGTCTAATGGTCTGGTGTCTTCTGCTGGTCCTGATCCTGGTCCTGGGTCTGGGCTTGTCTCTGGTCCTGGTCCACTGGGTGCTGCTGTTTTGAAGCCTGAATCTCCTCCTCCACTGGGTCACATGGTGCAGTGTGTCTGATTGACAGCCGGCGGGCTGTGAGGTGATGAAGGAACGCTGACATTCAAGTTAAACAAACGTCCATTAGTCCTTATTGACTTTAAATGGAGCTTGAGCAATAAAACAATAAAACTATCAGCAGCAGCAGCGTCTTCCCGCCGATGGCATTCATCTACAGCAAATACAACAGCAGAATGTCAGGCTGAAGAGGAAAGGAATTAACGGAGCGTTCAGAGGATTAGCAGACTTCATTAGCACTCCCTGATATCTCCATTAAACAAAGAGGCAGCAGCAGAGAGTCGCCCACTCAACATTTAGTCAGAACAAACACGACTTCATACTGAAGAAAAACACTTATCATATATTGGTTTAAAATGTTCTGCTGCAGGGAGACAGAGTGGAAATGACATCAGGGAATCCCAGCAGCCCTCAGTCACAGCAATGACAGCAACACAGTGAAACTTCTTCAAGTACCACCAGTGAAACACAGAGCGGACTGTCTAACGATTCAGTGAGTGTTCAGGCCTGGAGCTGGATCTGATTCATCTGAACTGGATTTACCTCTGAAATAAATCCTACAAACTACATTTATATTCAGCTGATCTGCAAAATCACATCAGGACCCTGATAGGACAATGTCAAAGTAAAAATCCTTCACTTCATAAACTTGAGAATAAAACTAGTTTTGTCTTCAGAAGTCAGTTAAATGTGAGAGGAACTGCAGAGTGATACAAGCACGACCACATAATAATGACCACAGAAGAAAGGATAAGAATAACAGCAGGAACACATACATACAAGAATCGATTAGTTTACATTGAGTATTTGCATTTGAAGATTTGACATGATGTTTAACCACTTTTTCTTTTCTGTCATTTTTCAGCTGCATACAAACAGGCAGAATAAATCTGACACTGATTCACAGCCACATCTGTCTAAACATCTTCACTGTCTGAACATCTGTTTGAACATCTTCACTGTCTGAACATCTGTCTGAAAATTTGTCAAAGCTCCATAGAGTCTAGAGGTAGATGTCCATGTGTTCTTTGATTATAAAGCAGGTCTAGGTTCTATATTAATACTGTGAAAGCATCAAAGCGCTCAGTCCACAGAGAAATGCACACAGCCTGTATTCAGAAACTGAGACGTAAAATCAGCCGTCAGGACTTCTGGAACTTTGTGATGTCACAACAAAGCAGTCACTGCTCTCAGTCAGTCTCCCCAAGCCCCGCCCATCTGGACCCACCATGCAGCATTGCAGGATTTGGTTTCTCTGAGTGTTTTCCTGAAATCTGTTATATTTTTATTGGATCACTCAGAAAACAGTCAGCTAATCAGAAGAGAGACATAAAGTCTCCTCTCCTCTGATTGGCTCACTGACCTGTTGTTATTAGAGCTCCAGAGAGAAGCAGGAGAGAGGAGATGTAAATCACAGTGTGTAATACACTGAGATGGTTTTTGGATCTTAAAACCACAACATTGATCTACTTATGGATCCACACTTGAAAGTGTAAAATAGGGACCTATAAGGATTTCACACAAATAAAAACAAACCTTTAAAACTGATTTTACATTTTACATTTTACATGTTCCTGTAGAAAAACAGCGCTGAATATACTAGAGGATTTTTTTAAGGAATGTATAATATGGTAGCTGAAGAGTCGATCTATATCTCTTGGTTATTGAGTCTTAAAATGAGCCAGAGGTGCTTCCTTTGTGCTTATGGACCATTGATGGATGTTCAGAACAGCCACTTGATTAATGCTATCACTTTCTGTTTCCATATGTGTGTGCACTCAGTGGAGCGGACTCCATCAGGCTGTCTAGCATGACGATTTTCTCCAGCTTCTCGCTGAGTACCTGGCCCTCACACTGCCCATATTTTCTTCATCCTCTGCCAAGCATGTAGAGCACCACATCGCCACCATAGGGCCACCAGTTTATGCCTGGGCTCGGCGCCTCAACCCAGGCAAGCTCGCCATCGGCAAGGCAGAGTTTGAGAACATGGAGCGCCTTGGGATCATTTGCCGCTCTGACAATTCATGGGCTTCGCCTCTTCACACCGCCCAAAAACCTGGTGGTGGGTGGCGCCCATGGGGTGATTACCACTGACTGAATGACATCACTACGCCGGGCAGCTACCCTGTGGAGTTCCTGCGCATACAGTTTGGTCCTAATGGTCTTAACGCTGCAAAGACATTCCAGCTCCTCATGGACTTGGTGCAGCGAGACATGACTTTCAACTTCGTCAATCTCAATGACATCCTTGTCGCCAGCTTCTCCAAAGCAGAACACCTATCCAAGCTCCAGACTTTTTTTGAAGGGCTTAGTCAGCATGGGCTTATCATCAATCCAGCCAAGTGCCAGTTTGGGCTGACCATCATTGACTTTCTTGCACACAGAGTCACAAAAGACGGGGCGGTTTCCCTCCCAGTGATGTTGGATGCCATTTCAAGCTTTCCATGCCCACCCTCAGTCAAGTCCCTACAGGAGTTCCTCAGCATGGTAAACTTTTACTGCTTTATTCCCCGGGCTGTCCCCATGTGACCCCTCTATGAGGCCCTTAAGGGAAGGGCCCCCAAACACATGGTGGACTGGTCCAAGAAGAAGGACAAAGCATTTGTGAACACTAAGGCTGCTCTGGCGACTGCAACAATGCTGGCACACCCATCGCTCATGGCTCCAATCTCCATCAACACAGACGTTCTGGACTATGCTGTCAGTGCAGTGCACGAGCAGTGGGTGAATGGAGCCTGGCAGCCACTTGCTATCTTCAGCCGTCATTACGCCCCAGTGAACGGAAGTACAGCACCTTCGATAGGGAGGCCATCATTCTCCCCCCTGAGTTTAATGAAACGAGCAGTCTGCTCCTTGCTCCGTAAAATGAAACGGAATGTTTCAGTAAGTTTTGCCTCATGACTCACACCACCAACAAAAACAGCTTAGGCAGCAATAAAACCCAGTTCAGTTAAGGCCCTTTGTTTTTTAACAGTGGTACCATTAGCTGTTCAACTGAGGTGAAACCGATACTTACGTTTAAAAGTGTATTTCTCTGGCTCTCTGTCGGTGTTGTTTGCTGCTATTTTTTTCATTACCAGCACACAATGAATCCTGGGGAAGGTTGGGCTATGAAGGATCCACCTGTTGGAGCATTCGTTGCCGGGAAAAGGAGGACACATATGTCAGCCTCATATGAAGGAGCCTTTGAAATGGGACAGCTTAGTTGTGCCGCTGTGACGTAACTGGTCTTCAAATGCATTCTCTGAAGGATGTGGCCCCTGAATTGGGACACAGCTTAGTCCCGCAACTGGACTGGTACTGGACTGTTGCTGAGCAACACATAAACATTTTTCTGACCTACACAGTGAGCACTAGCTTGCTACTTTGTCTACACTTTACCTGAGTTGTGCGGTGAAGTACCCAGGCTTCTTCCTTCAACCCCTGATGACCATACATCATTTAATTCAAATGTTATTTCTGGAAATATTTTCATCTTTGCAAAGTTTGTTACACTCTAAGACAGATAACAGCCGTTAATGTAACGCTAATTAATTGTTAATAGAACACCTGTAAAGCGGAATGATACATGTAGTTAAAAGTCCCACTGCTGTTGTACTCTATGTCAGTACTCATGGAATGCCTCTCAAATTACTTGGTCGGAACTAACTGTTGTATAGTCTTAGTCTTAGTCTCTTCTTGCCTTTTTATGTCTCATGTAAAACACTAACAGTTGAAAGGTGCTGTGCTAATAAATTAATAACTGTCACACCGGGTGTGGAGTAAACCACACGACCAAACCAAATTACTTTTCTGTAGCTGGACACTTACACAATTATAACTATATAACAAACATAAACAGCACAAACACATTAAAGGTCTCCTGTAGTTCTTGACCAGCAGCTCTGTGCAGAATATTTTCTCCCTGCTGTGCTGTTTCTGTTGTTACTACATTTACTGAAGTAAAAGATCATAATGTCCTAGGTCACGTGATAGTTGAAGAGGGCCATGGGATACAGCTGAAAGCTACAGGAAAAGCTAAGAAGGAGGATGTTAGAATATTTACTACATCAGAGAAACTGAACTAAGAAGAGAATCAGACCTGCAGACATGAAAATGCTCCGTCCTCATCTGGCCACAGCACCAGAGCTTTGTAAACACTGCCTCTGTGACCTCTGACCTCACACTGAAGCCTGTGAAGTTAGCCTGTTGACCTGAGTCTGAGGACTGGGGACAGGCTGATTTAAATGTCACAGGTTTTTTTGATGATAATGAAAGTATTTTCATACAGTCTACATGACAGCAAATGGAGCTTAACTCATCTCAGATCAGCTGCAAGAGCATCACACTACACTGCACTAATCCAGACCACCACTAGAGAGCACTGTCAGGTAAATATAACATCCACATGTTGATTTAATTAGTGGACCATGGACATATGAACTAACTGGACTCAGACTCAAAGATAGAGCCCATGAGAACTGCTCAGCCCATAGACGTTACACTGAGACTTCACACATATAAAAATATAAACATTAAACCAAATTATTCATAATAGAGTAATAATTGAGCCTGTCAACTGTTTTAGGTATGTTGTCTCTGAGGAGAAGTGATTTTTGCTCCTGTATATCCCAAATATCTATGGATGAATGCTAATGTTAGCTAGTTTCTAACTTTAGCCTTAATTTAAAGTTTAGCAAACTAAGGTTAGCTAGCTGATGGTGGCAGTGTTAGCTTGTCATTTCATGAACAATATCAAATGTCATATATGATCTAACGTTAGCAAACACTGGGGCTCAGTCATGAGCAGTGAGACAATGGAGGATTAGTTGTTGTAGAGATACGCTTTGACATCAATATTCTATAATAGACACCCCCTTTGTTTTCACTCAGGAATTCAGGAAGGGTCATTGAACATTATCAAAATCCATGTGTGGTGGAAAGTAATTAAGTACATTTACTCCTAGTGCTGTGC